TCAAAGTAGCAGAGAATCCTTCCATATGAGGGATCAAACCCAAACCCGAGATAATCCTACAGTACCGCCAGAAAATCCTTCCACGTGGGGGTTAAACTCCAAACTCAAGATAATCCTACAGCACCACTTAATCCCCACAGGTGCGATAATCCTCAGGCTGGCGGAGCAACCAAAATACCAGATGATCCAAATGCAACACAAGCTCCTGTTGCACCATTAAGTTATCCCAGATGGGCACTTGCCCCTCGTAGGACTTGGGGACAGGGGCACCTTTTCTGTGTGTGTGTGTGTGTGTCTGTCTGTCTGTGTGGCAGGTGCAGAGAACACAAAGCTTTGTCCCTTTATTAACCCTTTCCTGGGCGGAGGGTAGGAAACATGGGAGGGATTTTGAAGGGAGAGTTTCTCCGCAGCCTGTTTCTTCCCCTTAGGGCCATGCCTTCTGTTCATCCAAACAGTGAAGGACCTCCAGCTACCCTGTTTTTTTGTTTTTTTTTTTTTTTTTGCATCTCTTCAAAAGGTAGGGAGGGTGGTTCTGAGGTTCAAGGAGACTGGCGTGGATGGGTGGTTTTCCATGCCCCTCAGCGGCCATCTACTTCCTCTTCCTCTGGTAATACAGCCTCTTTGGTGTACGAAATCCACCCATGTGACTCTACTGAGAATGTTCTGGGACTAATGCAACTTCCATTCCGCAAAACATGTGGTCTGGGCATTTGACCCAACACAGGCCAATCAGAACATTCATTTGTGTCCCCCCCGACCCTGAAACAGAACTGATTAGAATCCAAACTTTTACTTTTTAATCTTAAAAAAAATTTTTTTTAGAGGATTTTAAGACTCATAACCCTGAGATAGTTACATGCTCCACTGACTGAGGCAGCCAAGCGCCTCTTTACTTTTTTATTTTGACGCCTCGTTTTGTTATTTACTTTTTATTTATTTGGTCTTATAAAATATACAAGCATTAAAAAAATTTTTCTTTAGGGGCGCCTGGGTGGCGCAGTCGGTTAAACGTCCGACTTCAGCCGGGTCACGATCTCTCGGTCCGTGAGTTCGAGCCCCGCGTCGGGCTCTGGGCTGATGGCTCAGAGCCTGGAGCCTGTTTCCGATTCTGTGTCTCCCTCTCTCTCTGCCCCTCCCCCGTTCATTCTCTGTCTCTCTCTGTCCCAAAAATAAATAAACGTTGAAAAAAAATTTAAAAAAAAAAAAAAAATTTTTCTTTAACGTTATTTGTTTTTGGGAGAGAGAGAGAGAGAGCGCGCCTCGGGGAGGGGCACAGAGAGAGGGAGACACAGAATCTGAGGCAGGCTCCAGGCTCTGTGACCCAGGGCTTGAACCCACGAACTGCAACTGAGCCACCCAGGCACTCCAAGTATACAAGCATTTGTACACACATGTAGTGTTTTTGTTTTCCAAGAACAGAATTATATTGTATATAGCAAAGTGTTTAAGAGCACAGATTCTGAAGCCAGGCTGAATCCTGGCTCAACCATTTTCTTAGCTGTGTCTTTTTAGGCCTCAATTTTGGCATCAGTGAAATGGGTATGATAATTAATAATACCTACATCACAGGGTTGAGATATGAGGATTACAGGAGTTAATATGTATAAAGTGCTTAAGACAGTGTCTGGCTCCTAGTAAGCCACAGATAGGATTATCTGTTGTTATTATTCCCACAAAAAATAGAAAGCTAGCTCTTTAGTCTAATTTCTACATAAACATGCACAGCATTTTCTAGAAACAGGACAATTTATACTTATGGAAATATTGTTTACTACATTCTTCCTCCTCTCCCTCCTCTTTCTTTTTCCTTTGCTTGCTTTTTTTTTAAGGTCTTTTTTTTTTTTTT